TGTGACGTAATGCATACACTTATCCTAGGTACATTTGTATACAACAGGTTGTGACGTTATAAAAACAAATCCTAGGTTTACAACAGGATGTGACGTCATTTATTAAACTGTGCTAGGTATAGAACAAGATGTGACATTATATACCACTCTTATTTACTTACTTACTTATCCTCTTCATCCCCAGTGGGACATAAGGCCACAACAAACCTATATATATACCACTCTTGCTTGTGTTAAATGAAATTCAGAAATCTAACAAATGTTACCAGATATTATAGTATATATATATCCGCATACACAAATTAACTTATTTATGTCAGATATACCGACAATTATACATTCAATTGACTCTTTAGACGCTACAGTTAACTTCCCCCGTTTGGAACTATGCGAGGTATATTTGTACCAGTCTATACCTGCAACTGACGTAGTCCGGCCGATCGATATCCCGCTATTGCAATTAATGTCTGTTTTGGAGCAACAAAATACGCCTCAAGTAACACGACTTAATACGGTATTGGTAGTTTTTCCATGTTTTATATAATAGCTTTCTCTGATGAGCTGCGAAGTTATGTATCAATGCTGTGTGGCTGATTATATCGGCGATAGGTTTGAATAATATATGATAAACGTTTATTACCGGTGAATATTTAAGTGTTCCTCTTAACTTCATATTTCTTCCTTAAGATACTTTGCAACTGGCTATAAACAATGGTAATATACGAAGTATTATTGACCTCCCTTGACCTCCGACTTCTTTACCTCAAAAAGCATTCCTTGTAATCAACCTTAACTTATCCACTGAATTTTAAAAAGTGTGATTTTTATTTCTAACGACATACTTCGATTTAACATCCCCAAACACTCCCAACCCTATTTTTTAACTGTTCGTTTATTAAGTCAGGAGTTCGAGTGAAAGACGATCGGAGAGAGAAGGAATTGTATGTCATCAGACGTTCCTACATTGTAAATAATGCATTCGTCGATAATAGTACAATAGTACTAGTATACGCCACATGTTACCGGTCGCTCCCGTATCTTTGGACACCTACTTCGGATTATTTAAACCCACATCTACTGTCACACAAGTTTTACTAGTTCTCTTACTGTTAAAAGCCCAGCTCTCGAATAGCCCCCGATATCAGAAGGGTTTTTAAAAAAATATCTTAGTCATAACGTTAAATGTATGATAGACTCAACGGGGATTAAGAGAAAAATAATCATTCACCCCCTTGAGGTACTATATTGAAAGCTCAACCCTCGGGAAAGATGCTTAAGTAACACTCGACAAGCCCCGTGTTTCGCAATTTAAGAATCCCCCCTCGGGTTGAGATTCCCCTGCCTCATCCCCGAGTTCGTTTCTTGAGAACGCGATTCAAAGGGTATTAGGTTTGCTCACAAGCAATGTTGACCAAAGTAAGAAAACTTATTGATGTTTTTGTCAAATTAATATAAAAGAACAAGGGATTTCGTTTCGATTCCAAATCCCGATTCCATAGTTTTCTTGTTGATCGTTTGAGCACTTCTCGGAGTCGGTCTTTACCAATATGTTAACCTGGTTGCTCTGATCGTCATATAGTCTCGTTCAACCAGACGCTTGATCACTTGTAATTCAAGAGTCTGGTCAAACACAGTGCACTAACTTTATCACCTCCAGAGGGCAGTATTTCTACTTTCGTTTCCGGACGTTATGTCAACGCCATTAAACATTTCAATAAATAATGAAATTAATGAAAAAAGTTACCTATACATGCATTCCTGAAGTACCCGTGTATTCACTTTTATCGAGAACAATGTGAGAAAATGTGTCAAGTCTCCAGAATAATGCCATATATTTCCATTGAATAAATCATAGCTAAGCACAAAGCCAACAAGGCTGACTGAGGTTTGAAAAAGCATGCAAAGCAAGTGAGATTTTACCTGTACACCATTCAAAACACCTTCAAGTTCTCACTCAGGTAATCTGGCTTGACTTTAAAAAATTGTATCAATAGCCTTGTTAGCATCATGAATTATTGTAAAATATCCAATGAAAATACATGAAATCATTCTTTTTGAAGCATTTTCTTACATTTTTCTCGTTAATAGTGAAAACATGGATACTTCAGGAATGCATATACAGGTAATGTTTTCAGGAATTAAAATATTTAATGTAATTTTGGGCAACTCAAATTCTGACTTCAAAAGTTAAAAAGGGTGTGTCAACCTTTGACCAATGAATTTTTTTACCAGAATCTCGGTAAGCCTCGTTATGATGACCAGACTCTCTATTCGGCGTAGCTTGCGCAGGCAACAAGAGTCTGGTTGAACGAGACTAATCGTCATATGGCCTCAGCTGTTGGGTGGACGTCGCCGTCATGTCAAGTAAAAAACAAGTCACAGGGTACATCTGTAGCTTGTTTTGTTTTCCTACATTGCAAAATAGGCATTTTCTTGATAAAGATATATATAACTGTTCATTACCAAGGAATAATGATCTTAAAATTACTATATATAACCTTCCTTAGAAAATCAAGAATTCTTCGTTTTGAACATACACTTATGTGTTCTGGACAAATGAGAACTCAACCGAATCAGTTGATAAATACACATAACATTTAAATGTACATGTGAGAAAATTACAGGCGAACGTTGAAACTCGTGCGAATAAATAAGCATACAATTTGTATCCATGTGCTTTCACAAGCCAAACTAGAGTTGTAAAAAGTACTACAAAATTTCTGACCAGTTGCTTCATTATAAACAGCTAGTTTCATATCTTTAAATTGCGTTTTATTTTGTACTGAGTCAAATAGGACTGATTTTTTAAACCCGGAACATGTAGAATTATTATTTAACGATTTCCCGTCTAACACGACTAACTTAGTAATATATTGGATCGATCGTCAAGTGTGAGGCCGACGTCTGCTGTCCGGTGGAGTTTGGGTCTGACGATCCCTTGACACCTTCTGTGTGATTGGCCAATAAAAGGCCGCACTTTCAGTCGTTCAAGCAAGTCACGCGGGAAACGCTCTTAGACGCGTGCCCCCAATGCCCGTAATTCTGTACATAGGACATGGTAAGTGTTGGTTAGAAAATATTACCGATGGGGTTTATGGGTGTCTAAATTACCACGTGATACTTAATCACCGAACAGTCACCTCGGATCGATATACAGCAGATTTTTTAGTCGTAATGATGCTGGTGTCCCAATGCTTTTGTCATACGAGAATTTCCGACTTGTGGTCCTGCATATGTGTACCCGTGCTTAAGTTTGTAACAGTATTTACTGTTTACTGTTCGCGTTCATAACATCGTTTACGATTGGTGTCCCCTTGTGATAGTTTGTTCTGGTGCATACGATTGGTCTTCTCGTGTTAGAGATTGTTACAGTGCTAACGATTGGTGTCCCCTTGTGATAGTTTGTAATAGTTCATACGATTGGTGTTCCTGTCTTATCAAGATTGTCACAGTGATAACTATTGGTGTCTTCCCCATACTGTAGATTGTGGGGTTTCTAATTAGAGGCCCGCGTCCTACATGTATAAGGCAAGTTCCTGGAAGTGTAAACCAAACGATGCGTTCGTGACTTCCAGCGTCATATATGCAGGCAAAGTAAATAAATGCAAACATTAGGAACACACATGTGTTAGTGTTGTTATAAGGGTACAGTTTTACGGGCATAGATTCGGAAAAGCTACGAATTTAGATAAGATATTTAAACATCATGTGTACTCTATATTGTAAGTAAGAGGACTTCTTATCAGAAAGGGGCGGAGCGAGAAGGAAGAAGAGGAAAGTGTGAGATGTACATTGATTTTTAAAGCTATTTGTATCACGTCGGTTTTTCCACGTACAATAAAAATAAATTAAAATAATTATCCTATTTAGATTAACTGGAATCTTCGACAGTAATTGTATATATGCTAAGTGGGGTGTTATTGGTTACCGGTATAATATGATTTGTCAGCGTTCATGTTAAAACTATGTGTTCACAAGGCAGGACACAGGGGCAGCGTTGTACATCAATAATATAAACTGTGAAATATATCCTGTTTTATTTCATAAACTTATGTCATATAATGTTATGTAATATCATTATGATGTATTCCGTAATCTATTATGTAAAATGTTGTTTCTCCTGTTATCAAAAATCAATCTTACGGAGGTCATCACCAAATGCTTGGACAGTTACGCTTTGTCTAACTGCCATGTTTAACCGCAGTCTGTCAGCAGAGGAAACAGTTTGATGCCTCAGATCTATTATTGGGTAAACTGTAATTGTTTGCATTTCGTAAGGTTTATCAAGAGTTTTCGGAAATTAGAGGCAGAAGCAGTGCGGAAAGATAACAAGTGTGGATTGGGGTCCAGCAATGCGCATGTCTGTAACAGATTGAACGAACTGTGCAAATATCGGAGATGTAGCTGCGCATGTCTGAAGATAGCAGACGTGTTGTGCTCATGTTTTCTGCTCCGAAACCAATTATATTTTCTTCTCTTGACTAGTTGGTTCTCTATGACCTTATTGTTTTGATGGGTCGTTAAACCATATTATAATCATTATTCTGTCTCCTCTTCCAACACATGTGGACAAGGTTACCGGAGAGCTGTGATGAAGCCAATAACATCAACGTACCTATAGATCAACACTGTATGGAAACAGTGAGGATCACGACGCGATGTACGTAATTAATCTAAGTCGAGTGTGTGACAGGAAGTCGTTATACCATCACAATAAAGCTCCTCCCGACATAGTCATCTACAACGAGTGGCAGAAATAATTATTTCATGCTTGGCTACATGTGGGAAAAGTCCATGTGTCTAATCATATTAGTATTGACCATTTACCCTACTTACGTAAATTGTTTCTGTGTTATTACTGGGAAATATATTGATTACACCTTTTTCATAAAGAAAGTTTTATTTGATTAGAAAAATATCATTACGATACACATTGATATCATTAATTATCCAATACTAGTCGTTCCACTTAATGCATTTTTGTTTGTTTGTTTTTACAGAGGACGCGGAGGTTACTCGACCAACAGTCAGCCCAATGATCGGCATGTGCAGTGACCTTCCTATCCCCCTCATCATTCAGGAAGATGCAGACCGTGACGTCATTAGCGGAAGTCCCCAGCCTCCAAAGGACTCGTACGACAAGCTCATGCATTGGCTAGTAGAGATGGCAGACGGGGACGACATTGACCTGAAGGATCCGAAAATTGCAGAGGAATTCTGTAAATCTCCATTAATTGGTAACGCGAAAAATCGGAAGAAAAATTTGGGTCCTCGATCACAATCGTATGATATTCACGTAAGTTACGAAGGGCCACTGTGTAGTAAACCGTCAAGGTCGTGTGGAGACATTGAGGAGGAGACAGAGGCTGAGGGATACATGGAGAACCAACCAAAACCCAAGAGTTTCAAATTGTCCCCAGATCCACCCAGCCACAACCGCAATAGATCCACGCTCAAAAAACAAAGCGCTGTGTCGTTTGACTCAACGTGCGGGGATCCGACTCAGTATAAAAGATCGAGTAAATCCTATAGCGATCTTAACGATTCAGCGAACTTCTTTGTAAACCAACAACAAAGCTTATTGCGCAGCCACCATAAAGTCAGACAGGTCCCGAAAACCCAGCGAAACCAGTTTACGAAACAGTACTCGGAACCCGTATCTAGCATTCCGAAAGTGTGTGTGTATGAGAGCATCGACGACAGCGGGAGTAACTGTTCTGATCGTAACCGAAATCAGTCGTCAAGCGCAAGTCTCGATTCCAGATCTCCTAGGTGTAGTCGACAAACAACATTCAGTGACGAAGACGATTTAACGTATGAAAAAAGTAAGTCCTCCCTTCTCCATCCTCCCTTGGAGATAATGACCGTGCGAGAGCACGAAGAGGAGGAGGCGGAAGGGGAAGGAGGAGTGATCAGGTCCAATCGCCGTAAACACAAGGGCAAAATATCCGGTATGATAAGCCGAAGCGTGGAGAACTTACTAGGAAAAACGTCCCGCCTTAGACATCGCTTGAAGTACCGGAGCTCCAGTCTCTTCACAGTCAACAATGATGACAAGTCGGAAATACCACCCGAACTTTTCAACGACAAACTCTTTCTTAACGACAAACTACTAGATGGCAATATTGACGATATTCTGTACGCCGTGGACACCTTGTGGCCCAATGAATGACGTCACTGACACCGGATTACGTATATTGTAACCGACAGAACGGATGGTCTGCCATTTGTTAAGCGTGGCACTTTTTGTCGCAATATGGTGCTATATGGTACTCCAGCGAATGCCTGTGACGTGTTTACGGGGTAATGAAAAGCACATGGTGTGTTCACATCACTGAAGGTGAATGGTTGATGAAGTTGTTGTCGGCAAGTCACACACATGTGGAAATGTGACAGCGAGTCTGGCTTCGGACTTGATGGAAGTGAGTAGGTACGCACAATATGCGGATAGCTTTAACCTGGTTATAATGATTATGCCATGGTTGGGATTTGTCACATCTCATCTTGATTGTGATGGGAATTAAAACTGGATTTAAGTTTAAAATGTGACGATTCGGATTATAATCAACTTGATTGGAAGTAAGGCGGAAGAATGTGGACAATGATTAAAATTAGATTGTGATTATTCTGATTACCAACATATCTGCAACTGAAGAGGATATGTAATGATATTAATGTGAGTAGTTTATTTGTAAAAAAAGACATTGCGATATATTCATTTTACAATTACATTTCAAAACACCGTTACCGAGAGACCTACAACAAGGATAATAATAGTTTTTGAAGAGTTTATTTCCAGAGACGAGAACTTTGAGAGTGGATGTAATGACAGAACGTTTCCGAACATTTGGACGTTTCTGGAACACTTTAGGTTTTACCTTCAATTAACATTGCTGGGTTTTCTTTTTGGTTTTGATTATTTCATGTGGTCTTCCAATAGGTTTATAGGAATGGCTCAAATTAACACCTTTTACAACATTCCAGATAAAAAAAAAGTGTAAACTATCGGATAAAATATGGAATGTGGCCAGAATCCATTTTTTGCGCCAATATTTTAATGTTTTATTGTAGAACTCAGAATGTTATTACAGTTTTGCCCAAAACAGGACATGCGCATATAATAAAGAAAACGGAACATTCTGTAGTCGTTCTTTATGCCACAAAACCAAGCAAGTTCGTGGGTTCGGTTTGCTGTATCCCCTTCAATGTTATCTTAAGAGGAGACTGATGTAATAATACCTTGTAGATGTGAGGTTTGTTAGTGTGTGTGTCTTCAGCACCGTGGAAGCATTGGAGAAACCAAATAGGTTATGTTGCCCCACTCAACACTCGGGAACTCTGTGTTCACTTTTCTCACTTAACATACTTGGTCGGCGGTGTCTCCCTATAGACACTCGTCTTTAAATGACCTTAGCGTTTGGAGAGGACGTTAAACCCCATTAAAACAAACAAACAAAATAGTCATTTCTAACTATTGAATCCCTCTCCGGTGAGTCTCCACCACACCTTACGAATCCTAGGGTCATTCTTTACCCCTTCTAACTAAACCTCGAGTTATTCTTCAATTTACCAAACGAATCCTTGAGTCATTATTTGTTCACCCTACCCTAGCTAACCCAGGAGGGTCTAGCTAAACCTTGAATCACTCTTCATCCAAAATAAGTCGAGCGATATGTTTTCTCGACAAATGCACAATAACATAACCCACTTCCAAAGCCTCTAACCAAAGGACAACCATGAAACAGTTGAGAAAATATTTCAACCAATGTTACGTAGTTTTATACGTGTAATTTTAGGTTGAGTCATGACAGTATTGTAGCTATATTCTAATGTTATCTTGAATTCATAGCCTATTTTGACGTGTTTATATATGTGTGTGTTAAATTTATTAAATAATAATAATAATAATCTTTATTTAACGTCGTGTACAATTGTCAACAACAAACATAAGCTCTGTAGAACTTTTATTACGACGCCTCTAATGGAACAAATGGTGATCGTGGTGGAGGAAAACCCACGGGGGGAAAACCACCGTGCCATCGGAGGGATAACAACTAACCCTATCAGACATCACTTTCCTTTTTCCACCACCGCTGGGGGATCGAACCGAAATTCTTAATTGGGAGAGCGAGTGGTCTGAAGCTCACGCTTGATAGCACACAGTTGTACAATGACTGTGTGCGTTAGCGATCACGGCTACCGAGGCAAGTACTCCGGGTTTTTCTGAAAATGAATTGCTACGTGTATAATTTCAGGCATATCGCATGTCGTCTGACAGATCAGACGGACCGCGTGTCTTCCGGCAACTCTGTGACAAGCATTCTTGTCATATAACATATATACAAAAAAGCACATCCAAAGTCCGTGTGATGGATTAAATATAGAAGAAAGAACAAAAGAGTTTCCTAATTCTTCCCTAGTACTTATATCAGTTTACTACAATGAACTTTCAAAAGGTGTAATTAAGGATTAAAATATGCAAAACAGTTCCAGCAGTTCAACGCATTGCTTCATAAATGTTATAAAAATTAATTTCAATCCTTTAAGTTACATTCAAACGACCAAGAAAATTCTATCCTCCTAAGTTTTTTGGTTCAAGGTGAATTTTAAACAAAATGGTTTACCAAAAGATGGAACCATTTTTGGCAATAAGGTCATCTTGTCTATAATTAATACATTTGTCAAATATTTTATATAGCGACACGTTATCATTGATTCTGTAACAGTATGACGGACAGACACAAACAGTTTCCGGTTTGAAAACATGCACGGGTAAAAGTTCTTTTTGTGGTGGTTTCACAGCATTCTGAGTTGGTAGTTAATTTACGGGCATCCCTAAATTCTAGGGGTTACGCTCACTTAAATAAGAAGAAGAATTCGAGGTTCTTATATAATTATTCTTAAATTAAATTACTATCCGTAGGGCCTTTGCAAACAGCCGATACCTTTCTGAACTCCCTGGGGAGCATACAGCCGGAGGTGCCATTTCAGCACTGCCCAACCACGTACTCATTTACAGCTGAGTAGACTGGAACAATCGGTGTAAAGTATCTTGCCCAAAAATACAACAAAGTGCCGTGCCGTGACTCGAACCCGCAACCCATCGGTCACGAGCCCGATGTCCTGCCACTAGACTATCGTGCCTCCTAACGTCATCTTACGTCAGGCTTACGTCATCTGCACCCCTAGTAAAAGTCATGACAAAATCTGAGGCCCGCGGGTAGAATTTGGCTGGTTTCAGGTGAAATAACTGAACAATCGCTAGGCTAATACCGAGCCGTTGAAGTTTACATAGGAGCAAAACCCGACTTCAAAAACAGTCATTTTTCCATTACGATGCCGCGCGATTATTTTGATGTATTGTATCATCCAGTAGGCCTACTGAGCCTATGATTTCGTCATGACATATTCCCTGGTTACAGAGAAATTGAGAGAGCGTTACCCCCTGGAATTTCAAGAATAATTAACGGTTTGCATAACGGAAATGTAAACACATTGCAAAAACAAAACAAAACAAAAAGACAAAGAAACACCAAAGTCAGATTATGCCGTAATGTGATCGTGCGTTTGTCCACCTGTCAGCAATTCATCCAAATGTCTTTTTCTTCTGAAAAGCTGAACGGAAGAACACCAAAAATGAAAACATCTTCTGAAAAGCTGAACGGAAGAACACCAAAAATGAAAACATCAGTGGGAAGAGAGAATTCATTTTTTTTTCAAGCGGATAGACTGAAGGACAAGGCCATAATGGTAAGGCGGCGTTTGTCGCCTTAACCTATGAGATTGACATCAACTATATTTGGTAGGAGGAAGTATCACACGGAGGTTATTATTATTTTAAATGTACATAAAGCCTTGAATATTATAAATAATACAATAGTGAAACATGTACTCAATGAATATCTATGTCGTGACTGTTATTGAGAAAATTGTCAGAAAATGCTTCAAATGTCCAGAATTTTTTACATGTATTTTCTTGGAAAATATCACAAATAATCATGAAGATAACCATGCAGACCGAGCGCAGAAGCAAAGCCGATCACGTGAGTCGGCGTACAGGTAAAACAAAGACGATCACGTGAGTCGGCGTACAGGTAAAACAAAGCCGATCACGTGAGTCAACGTACAGGTAAAACAAAGCCGATCACGTGAGTCGGCGTACAGGTAAAACAAAGCCGATCACGTACGTGAGTCGGCGTGAGGGTAAAACGCATATTATAATCTTAAGTCAGCAGGAATGGGGCAATTACAATGGCAATGTAATTAACTAAATTACACATTACATCGGAACAGTAGCATAACCATTACCATTACATGGTTTTCTTAATATAGTTAATTACAATTACATTGTCAATGTTTACATTGTCAATGTAATTAAATACCATTACAAATTACTTTAATTAATATTCTGGGTATAATATTTTTAATCCAAGCCAATAAAAAACACACGTTTAAATGACATGTTTACCTTTATTTGTTATTAACCTGTTGTTTGTGTTTCATACAGGGAATTTACATCACTATAAACATGTACTCAACTCTGGGAAGATGTTGTGCTTAGACAGCTTACACTACATATGTAAACATGCATTTGGCTCTGTGCTTCGTTGTTACCATATAACCCATTTCCGACGAGATAGCGACTATAACGCCAAGATTGCTCACCCCCTGCAAGGTTTTGCACGCGGGTGAGATGTCGTACCATAGAGATAGACAAATTGGTCGTTGGTACGTTAATTCACTGAAAAAGGTTTTGGGCGATTGCAATACAGATAAAATATTTCAGGAATATTTCCCTACTTTATTCAGGTAATCATGTGATAACTCCAATTGATGTGCGATTGAATAGAAAGGCTCATAATTAGTTTATACGTTAGACAAATCAGCGGATACAAACTTCCTTTTCAAAGTATATTAATTTTAAAATGTGTGATTGGTTCAATAAAATCGACAAATGAAATTGGCATAAGATTTGGTTAACTCCGCCTTCATCAAATAGGAGGGATTTATATAAACAACATGGCATATTCACTTTTATCGAAAACAATGTAAGAGAATGTGTCAAATCTCCAGAATAATGCCATATATTTCCATTGAATAAATCATAGCTAAGCACAAAGCCAACAAGGCTGACTGAAGTTTGAAAAAACATGCAAAGCAAGTGAGTTTTATCTGTACACCAATCAAAACACCTTCAAGTTCTCACTCAGGTAATCTGGCTTGACTTGTATCAATAGCCTTGTTAGCTTCATGAATTATTGTAAAATATCCAATGAAAATACATGAAATCATTCTTTTTGAAGCATTTTCTTACATTTTTCTCGTTAATAGTGAAAACATGGATACTTCAGGAATGCATATACAGGTATTTCTTTAATGAATTAAAATATTAAATGTAATTTTGGGCCACTCAAATTCTGTCTTCAAAAGTTAAAAAGGGTGTGTCAACCTTTGACCAATGAAAATGTTTACCACAATCTCGGTAAGCCTCGTTATGATGTCAAAAAACGAAAGCACTGCGTTTGACCAGACTCTCTATTCGGCGTAGCGTGCGCAGGCAACAAGAGTCTGGTTGAACGAGACTATAGTATTGTATCGCGTTCATGGACATTTTGCGTTCGTTCGCCCACATGTAGTTTGTCGACGACTTGGAAACTTGGAACTTGGAACGAGCTATGGTAAGGTTATAATATTGTATTTCCAGTTTGCGAGAACAATGGTTAATGATCGAATGTCAGTGTAGACTGTAAATATAAGTGTTTATTAATTTTATACGTAACAGAGATACACAAGTAATAAAGGAGGACCTGCCCTTGCTTCGTACTCATGTCAATCATGTACTTAAACCAATAATATTTACATTTGCATAGCATTGTCACCATATAGCCTCTTTGAAAGCTGTGTCGTTGATGGGACTTTATTTGCCATGCAGCACGAGACACAATTCTTCGCGTATTAATACAACACTGACCGGAACTACAATATCCAATGTAAATAAACATGACGGCTGTTGAAATATCGCTGGGCATTGTGAGACCTGACAGTAAATAAAAGATACTTTTATTACAACAAAAACAAGACCAAGGTCTGCAATATCGTAAAAAATGCACATCGGTTGAAATCATCAA